GTATCTTAACACCACACCGCAATTCACAGAACACTCTTATATATATATATATATATATATACACTGACATACTGATATATTGGTAACTATATATATACTGATATATTGGTAACTTGAATTTTCTTAATGCATAATCATGTATAAAATTTCCTATTAACTCTGATAAGATCATAAATTCGGAGTTGCAAAATTATCTTACAAAACTAACATTGACACAGAATTGTATTATGTATTTCCCCTTGGCTATGGTATCAGCTAAGCTATTTGCTTCCTTCAAGTATGTACAAAAATTGCATCAAGTGCATCAACAATTCACAACACATGAGACTGGAAAAGATGGCTATAGGTATAGATGGCATAGCACACTAGTAACATAATCCTAAAACATTAAACATATATCTAATTGCAGATATCACAAAGATTATCCTCACCTGCTCTGTTGTCGCATAAGACCCATAATGGACTTCTTTGCGTGATAATGCCTTCAATGCAGCAAAGAATGATTGAACCTGGAAGTGACAGAATAATTGAATGAAGTCTCACCGAGTCCCTAATAGAAAATGCAGTATCTCTCTTCGGTCACCCATCCTTCGATATGGAACAAAAGTACCATGGGCAACCACAGTTTGGCCATTGGGAGATCACCATCAATTGATATGGGACACATGTATATACCATGGGCAACCATAGTTTGTCCATTGGGAGATCACCATCAATTAAATAATGGATGGTGATGAAGGGAGAGAGAGAAAGGGGCCCACAAGTGCAATAACATCCAGACCTAGTGGGTCACATTCTCTCCATCACTATTCATCATTTCAAAGGACTACAACATGTTTGCCCTTTTAGAAATGGGTAGCAGCCATCAAATAGAAGACATATTTACGCATATATCCCCCACATTCTCTGTTATTCAAACCCACCCAACCCCAAAAAAAAAAAAAATTATGACTTCAGCACCCCCATTTTTTCTTCTTTTTTTTTTTAAGTTCCCAATTCAGTACCACTTCGGATCTTCAAGATCCAAAGTCACAAAGTAATTTATGACTTCAAGATCCGAAGTCATACCCCCATGTACCAGTTTTGCATCTTTCCTTTTCCCAATTTGGGACCACTTCGAAATAAAATGGTTTAGTTACTTCAGATCCAAGTCCAAAGTGGTAGAAATTTGGAAACAAACAAATAAAAAATATATAAAATAAAAAGATAAAAAAATGGTAGGTGCATTAAATTAGAAAAATTAGGGGGCTTTTTTAAATAATGGTAACTGTGAGACATAAGTGTAAATTTCTTTGAATAGAACCTGAACAAAGGAAACAAACTTTAACAGCGTTCACTTACCTTCTCAACAATGGATGTCAGCTTGAAAGTGAGATATAGACCAGTAGTAAGAGAAGAAAAGAGGCTCCCATAATCCTTGTTTAAGAAAAACCGGTACCATACAGGTGTGGGTAGCAAAGCACGGTACAGTAAGAGCACATATTCAACTAGGGTTAGCATTTGGCCCTGTAGACATACGCAATAGTGAACCTTAACATAAAACCATTTCCATTCATTCTAACAAGTACATAATAAATTGATGAACGTTTCATCTCAACCATCAGCCATTGACAATGGACAGCAACTATTACATTCAACAAACACTTTTTATGCCCGCATGAATCATGAAATACTTCCCCTTATTCCAAAATTAGAATCTTTCCATATGTGTGTCTGTAACAAATGGAACGCCAGAAACAATTAGAATCAATGTTATTAAAACCAGATCAGAGGTTGAATCAGTGGGGGCCACCAGTCGAACCAGACCGATTCACTAGTCACAACGGACAAAAAAAAAATTATAAACACGAAAAAAACAAAAGACTAAAAAGTTCAAAAGTAGAAAACTAAAACAAATAGAAAATGATTAAGAACAAAAAAAGGATGAGTATAGTTTCATTGAAGTGTTAGAGAACCAATAATAAAATAGAACAAGTAAATGAAAACAAAAAAAAGAAACCCAACATTATATACAAGAAAATGCACATAATCCACCAAATAAGTAAAATACCTACAACATTACACTACTGAAGTTAAAAAAAAAATTAAATTAAATTGAATGCAAGAAACAACCCATTGCATTGAGTTGACCCGAAAATCCTTTCGGAAAAAGCACTAAAATCCAAATATATTTACTACCTTTTTCTAAACTTATAATAAAAAAATTAAAAAAAATATCAAATGGACATAGTTGGGGCTTGAAATAGGGTGGATTAATAGCAGGAATCCCCTCCAAAAGTTGCCAGAATTTCACCCATGATGTGGGATTTTCCAAGAGAAAGAGAGAGTCGCCAAACTTGCTCTCTCTAGAAAGCAACTTTTAAAACCCAAATCCTCATTAAATGGTAAGAAAGACCAAAATGCACTAAATTTTCAAAACAATAAAAAAATCCCAAAAATGACAAAAAATGAACCAAGATGAAATGGTCATCTTCCAGCATTTTCAACTGCTTTGGTCGAACCAGGCCATCGGTTCACCAAATCAACGGTTCTCCAGATTTGGGACCCCATATCCGACTAGTAGGACCATCGGTTTCCGGTCTGAAGATCTGGTCTTGATCACATTAATTAGAATAACAACAAAACCAATAATATAAAAGAAAGGGAAATCCTCATACCTGCTTGCGATAGTTGCGGCCTCTGCTATTCTTGTAATACATCAGCAGTATACACTTAACAACCATCGCAGCCTGGCGAACCATGGTATCTACCAAAATAAACATACAACCAGGAAATGAAGACGGTGCCTCCTTCAAAAAGGAATGAAAGAATACCACTAACTCTAGTGTAATCAAAAGAAATCCATAACCATATTGGAACCTGACCAAAGAAGATACCCAATAAAAGATTAAACTTTCATAAAGAGGTTCTTTATTTCATACAACCACGAGTGCATTCAAGAGATAAAAAAATTTAAACCATATTATTCGGACTCTTTGTAGATAGCCAATAATAGAAATGTTGAAGGCCTAAATTTTATTGCATGTATGTGTGTACAGATACACACACATACTAGTCCATAGCTTGTGCAAATTAAAATCTAAAAAAATAGACATCATATAAATGTTTCTTCGTTTTCATTAGAGAATAGAAAACTAGGGGATTCGAGATAATTTTGAAAGTATTAAATTATTTTAATGAGTTCATATCACTAGCACTTGACTTATATATGACCTTTTTAATGACTATTTAAGATATAAAAATCTATTGCTGTTAATAATTATTGCATGATGATGGCATGCACACGCGCAAACACGCATCCTAATAAATTTCTATATATAGTATGGATTTTATGCATATGATTATTCTTTTTTACCCCCCTTAAAATATGACTAGATTGGATCAGCAAGTCCTACTTGGCCGATTCTTTGTTATAGTCACATATCTAGGCATTGTAATTTTTCAATCCTATGGTATTCTTGTTCTTTTTTGCCCAAAATATGAGAGGAATACATGGCAAATGGGCCCAATAAATCCGTATTTATTTTAGTTTTATTTTCTTTTCTTTTTTTTTTTCATTTTTCATTAAGTTAGAAAATTATGCACTGAATTCACTAGGGATAGGCGAGCTGTAGTTACTAATTAGAAATGGTACAGATGTGCATATTCACACAAATACCTACTGTAAAGGAAGAATGCTCAGATAAAATTCAAAGGAGGGCTACCAAGCTCATAGCTCAAATGCCCATAAATAAAATTAGCACAGAGCTATTGTTGTTCATTATAGTCCATTCTGGTATGTAAGGCACAATCGTTGGTTCTATTGAAACAGCTTCAACCAACTGTCTTAAAATTGTTGGACTTCAGCTTTCTTGTTTATTGTTGTGCCCTCTGGTGTTTTGTATCATTTTAGGAGGATGCCACGATAAGATTGGACATGAGTGAATTCATGGAGGCTCAGAATGTGAGCAAATTGATAGGATCAACCACTCGATAAGTGGGCTATGGTGAGGGAGCCACTCGCACCGATGCAGTTCGTAGGAAACCTTTCACTGTGATAATTCTCGATTTGATCGAGAAGGCTCGCCCTCAAATATTTTGCATCCAGCTAAAAGTGTTTGTGGATGGCCACCTCACTGATTTTCAGGTATGTCTAACAGAGAAATTTGGTTTTCTGTAGGAATTTGGAGCTTCCATTCATGAACCCAAGTTAATGTTTACTTTTCTATAATTTTATTTTCAAAATTTAATATCATCAAAAAGAGATATGACCTATAATATTTCATTGCTGTAATTAACTTTAATGATGTAAAAAACTAGGTGTACATAAGATATTGTATAAACTGTACAGCCAAATCAATACTATTGTGTGCAAGTGAAGTCTAGATACTCAAACTCAACTTGTATTAAGGTGGAAACATGACCTGCCCTATTCATGGATCTCTCGGTTAGAGGAATAAGAGGATTGAACCATTTCTTCTGACTCTTTTTCAAATTCATAGATCGTATATTGCTTTATAGTTATATGATTCAGAGTATCATTTCCTATTTGATCCCTTGGAGATCTAGGTCCTTTATTTATAGTTCTTGCATTAACCGGTCTGGAATTAGGTGTATCTATATCACAAGCTCATGTTTCTACAATCTCAACATGCATGTGGTCTCATATCAGTTATCTAGGCCACAACTCATGGAAAGGAACTCACTGAGTGTCACCAGGTGGAAGAGAAGCAGAAATAAACTTCAAGGGGTCACATAAATCCTGGTGAAGATTGACGAGATTATTGACCAGTTGGTTGCCTCCTTTTATCATATCTGTAGAGATGCCAATGAGTTCACCGACATTGGCCAAAGAGGGATGTTTTAATAGATGTTCGTCATCAGAACCACTAAGACTGCCCCCTTGATTCTTAGTGCAGTATCCTGGTCCCCACATCAATGGTTTCACACATATTCTCATGTATGACTTACATGGAAGAATTCTTTTTGTCTTTTCTTTTTTTGATAAATAAGGCAGAAAAAATTTCTCATGTTATTGGATAGATGAAAGTCCAATGCACAAACTACACTATCCTCAGAGCAACCCAATGTATATTTAACTTTTCTCCCACCATTCAATAATAGTCATGTAGAAAGTCCAGCACAGTTTCTGTTCTGCTTTATCTCAATCATTAGTTCATTGATATTACCAATTTACTATAGCCCGAGATCAAGTTTTAATTTTAATGATATGGTTCAAGAGAAGCTCGAACAGACATAAAATTTCACATGCAAGAATAGACAAGCTACAGGGCAATCTGTTACCAGAAAAAGAGGATAACTTTTCATTATCTAATTGGAAATGATTTATTTAGGTCAAGTTATCGAAGAACAAATTAAAAACAAAGGAAAAGGCCAAAGTCAAGTCAATACCATTTACAACAATGGTGAATATAGCATGCCAAAATGGGGGTATTGCTTTTGGAGGAAGCATCACAAGTGGGTATAGAAGGTCATCATTTCTGTACCAATAGTAAACCCCCACCACATGAAGTACAAAAATCAGAGTGATACCAACAAGGATGGTAATCCTTCTTTCACCCTGCAGAAACCAAAGAACACTAGTTACACCACATAAGATAGAAGAGCAAGAGAAGCACTTCTAATCCATTCCCTCAAATACCAAGAATTCATAGAAGTCAACCATATCAATCTAGGCCAATGTCAATGAAGGCCAAGGCCTGCCATCACAAAAATTTTAGTTGTACTGCATGATTAACAAAGCCATATAAGCATAACACTGTATGACATTACCTAAACACCATTGGACAAATATGGTTCCACAAAGGAAACAAAAAGTTATAATTCATTTACCTCAAAAAAAAGTTATAATTGAGAGTATTCGATAGGACAAATATGGTGCCAAAAAGCAAATGAAAAGTTATAATTGAGAGTATTTAATACTGTTGCAGCTAATTTGTCAGCGTCAATCACACAAATACGCATGAAATGGCGGTAAAAGAATGTTTGGTGGCTAAAAAAGGTACTCAACATTACAACTCAAGGAAGAAACTATAAAGGAAAGGAAATATCACGGATATGGATCATGGTAGATAATTACAAACAAGTTTTTGTATTTTGAGAATGTTCACCTTGACAATTACAAACAAGTTATGCACTTGATTCACCAAACAGCAAAAAAATACATATATCACTCAAAGGTATGCATCAAACATCATATCGACATTCATTCATCATAAGAATAGTAATCCCTAGAAGAAAAAAGTACGGTTCCAATGTCATATGAAGCTTCTTCTCTGTTTCTGATCACGTTTTTTTTTTTTTTCATTTTGAAGTTAACTTCTGTTAAGTAGGTTAATGATGGAATTTGAACTCAGACATCATGGTTTGGCCCCCAACGCCATAACAATGGACCCAGCGTTCCAATCCCATTGAAAGTTCAGCTTCATTCTCATAACTATTGCCCTTCTGATAATTCTTGTTTCTGATAAGTAAAATTGATTCCACTATACAATAAGGCTAAAAAATAACAATGGAGTTACATTGACATAAAAAATGTCCAGACATCCCATCCATCCCTAGTAACCCCGGTACGGCTACCTGTGTTACTCTCAACTTTTCCACAGACACAGGGGAATGACATGTCCACGGACCTGCAAAACGTTTTTAGCACATTACAGTCATTGGCGATGTTGTCGCAGTGAACTTATTATTAAAATTAATCCAACCCGTCAATCAGCTCATCCAACACATTAATGCTGCCATTGAGAGTGTTATTTGTACGGCCAGCTGTTTCAAAATGTCACATCGATAAGCTATGACTACAACATGAAAAAAGTGTATTAGAAAATCAGTTCGGTTTTATGCGAGGGAGGTCCACAAAAGAGGCAATTGATTTAGAGAAAGCATACAATACCATATCTAGAGAGTTAATTTGGTGGGTGATGAAAAAGAAAGGATTCTCATAAGATATATTGACATGGCGAAAGATATGTTTGAGGGGCAGAAACTAGTGTGAGGACAACTAGTAGAGAGACAAGCAGTAGGCCTTCATTAGGGGTCAACATTGAGCCCATATCTCTTTGTTTGGTTATGAACGAGATAACTAGGCATCTGAAGTATAAGGTACCATGGTGTATGTCGTTTGCAGATGACATCGCTTTCATTGATGAGACCAACAACGGTGTCAACATGAAGTTCGAACTTTGGATGGATGCTCTAGAATCAATATATTTTAAAATTAGTTCGACTAAGACAAAATGTATGAAATGCAAGTTTAATAATAATAGGAGTAGAAATGAGCAATTAGTTAAGATTGATGGCCAAGAAGCATCTAAAAAGGATTACTTTCAATATCTTGGGTCAATAATCCATGAGAATGGAGGAGCTGATGAAGATGTAACACACAGAATTAGAGATAGGTGGACAAAGTGGAGATGTGCTTCAGGAGTTTTATGTGATCCTCACATACTAATGAAACTGAAAGCGAAGTTACATAGGACGGCTATCGGACCAGCCATGCTTTAACGGATGGAATGTTGGGCAGTCAAAAAACAACATATTCATAGGCTGAATATTGCTTAGATGGGGATGTTGAGATGGATGAGTGGAAAGACAAGAAAACACATTCAAAAAACTTAGGGGGGAGCGCTCCAATAGGCGATAAGATGAGAGATCCAACAAGCAATAAGAGGAGGGAAACTAGACTTAGGTGGTCTGGCCATGTAGAGCATCGATCTAGAATAGCACTGATTAGCGCAATGATGATTTGGTTCAAGTAGAAGGTGCCAAAAGGGTAAGAAGAAGGCCCAAAAGGAATTGATAGAAGTAATGAGAAGAGATATAGTAACCTATGGCTTGACTGAGGGTATGGCCCTTAACAGAGCAGAATGGTAGAATAGTATTTGTGCATGCAACCTCGAATAGTTGGACTAAGATGATGATGATCATTTTAGATATCAATATGATAATATATTTATATCAATTTTTTAAGTTTATCACATATCATACCATTGTGTTATATTTAGGAAAAATTATAGATACCCCCACCCGCAAAATCAATTTTCTAGACATCCTAACCCCCAATACTTTTTGCATCACACCCTAAACCCCATAACTATTTTTCCTTGTATTTACCCACCCAATCAAAACGTCAATAAAATTTAGACAAAACTATCATTTTCCTCACTCTTCCCCAATACCCTTTTCAAGTCACATGGCCATCTCTCTTAACTTCTCTCTACCTCTCTCTTTGCTCACCCTGTCTCCCTTTCTCTCTTTGCTCACCCTCTCTCCCTTTCTCTCTCTACCCACCCTCTCTCTCACTTTCTCTCTCTACCCTCCCTCTCTCTCTATCTTTCTCTCTATATATATTTAAATATATATATATATATATTTAAAATATATATATATATATATTAAACTAAAAGTATTCATTTGTTACTAAAAATGAATTTATAAATAAATGTTTATCAATTGTGATAGAATGATAGTATAGTAGGCTCTCATAAACGCATGTTATACAAATTTCCAAAACAAAAGAGTATAGCATTTATTGTTTCTTTTGCCACCTCATGTGGCAATAAATGCTATATTCTTTTGTTTAGGAAATTTGTATAATATGCTCTTATGAGAGCATACTATACTATCATGCTATCACAATTGATAAGCATTTTTTAGATCAAATATTTATAAATTCATTTTTAGTTACAAATGAATACTTTTGGTTTAAAAAATAAATTTTTAATTTTTAAAAACAATATACATGTACTTTTCAATAGAAATAAAATATACCTAAGAGAAGACAAATAGTTTTATGTGAATTGATAGAGAGAGGACGTGTAGAGAGAGAATGGGAGATACATAGAGGGTCGGTAGAGAGAAACAAGGAGGGTAGAGAGAAAAAGTGAGAGAGAAGATGAATAGAGAGAGAGAAAGGGAGAGAGCATGGGCAAAGAGAGAGAGAGAGAGGTAGAGAGAGAAATTGAGACTTGAGAGAGAGAGAGAGGACGAGTAGAGAGAGAAGTGTTGCCACGTGACTTTTTTTTTGGGATAATTATATTACCACTTGACTTGAAACGGGTATAGGGGAAAAGTGAGGAAAATGGCAGTTTTGTCTAAATTTTATTGACTTTTTGACTGGGGGGTAAATATAAGAAAAAATATTGTTGGGGTTTGGGGTGTGATACAAAAAGTATTCGGGAGTAAGATGTCTAGAAAGTTGATTTTGGGGGGGTATCTATAATTTTCCCCCTTATATTTATCCGTTTTATATTCAAATAATCAAAGCATTTAAAAAAGATACCAAATATATACATACATGCATTCATAAATACATAGATACATATATAGAAGCATTATAAATAGAGTGTTTGTATAGATTTGTGTATGTATAACAGTATATCATTCAACGACATAAAAACCTACGAAGGGTAATACAGCCACAATGAACTATCACGTACAAAAGATATGCTTTAAGCTCAATGCGTATTCACCAAACCTGTTGTTGAACCCGTCAAGAAGATGATCCCCACCGTCCAAATGGTGGAGTTTTCCACTAGTTGGAGAGTGACAATCATCCTGCCAAATGGTCCAACAACAAGTTGGGCGAAAGTCCAAAATTTTTGCATGAGCCATCACCCCCATATGATTATTTCCCATATCACTAATAATAGCATATTATCGTTTTCAAAATGAATACCATTCAGGAGAACTTTGGTGTAGCTTCAGTAGGCAATAAGATGAGAGAAAGTAGACTTAAGTGGGCTACACATGTGGAGTGCAGATATTAAGAGGTGCGAGTTAGTTCAAGTGGAAGGCTCAAAAAGGGCAAGGGGTAGGCACAAAAGCACATGGTTGGAAGTAGTGAAGAAAATATGAGCACTTATAGCCTCACAGATGATATGGCACTTGATAGAGCAGAATGGCAGACCACGGTTCGTGTAGCCGACCCCAATTAGATGGGAAAAGGCTCTGATAATGATGATGATGATATTATATGTATGTTTATACTAAGTTTCTTAGATTGTAGTGCAGCTGTGATGGCAAATTTTTGTTATGTACTCTATAAACCATAGATGCGACAGCCATTTGCTTGGATTTCTTTTGTCAATTTAGTTGTCTACTTAGAAAACAAAGAAAAACCCAATCACAACAACAGTCAGTGAACTTTCACAAAAGAGTCAATAAGCAATAAGCAGCAACTAGTCAGAAAACAGCTTTAACAGCCATCGCAGTTCGAACAACCTATTTTATCAAAATCCATGTAGAAACACCTTGTAAAATGAACAATGTCAACTTCACCATAACATATTCCAAGATATATTATAAACAACGATCGATGTTTTTACTTTTTCGGCATAGAGGGACTTTGAACAAACACTTCCCATGCTAAAACAACTGTTGTTTTTTCTTTTTTTACTATTCAAGACAATTTTGGCAACCATTCCCAGATACAAACCGTTATTTGTACATAGAACTCGGCAAAGATTATCTTTGAAAAATGAGGAGATCTAAAATATATCAAAGTAAACAACATTATACCGTGATAGTCATAGAAAAATAATGCACACAAGCAAGATGGAGAAGAGGGATGAGAACACAACAGCGTAAAGGAAAATTCACCTTTAGAGCTGTCTGCTTTCGAAGAATGTCATTCGACTTTATCATTACCGCAGCAATCCAAAATGTGACAAAGAAACCTGCAAGTCCTCCAGAAAAGTAACACATCACTACTTTGTAAAAATTTGATCACAAATGTGTTGTTCTATAAGTTCAAGATCATCCTCCATAGCGAAATTAAAGTCAGGAAAAGCACTAGCACCCCAAGATGCATTGCAATGTTCTGCATATAATCCCTGTTAAAGCATGTCTAGAGAAACTAGAGAATATGTTGTGTACTCACAAAAGCAAACTGGTCTCAATCAATCAAACAAAAACTTTAACATAAAAAGTCTATCGATTGTCTCTCTGACCAAGGGACTAAATAAGATAAAAGATACTAATAAAGCAAAGCAACTAAGACAAGAAACCACATGCGCAATATGCAAAAGCAATATGGCACGCCTTTTGACTCAGCAGGTCAATATGCTATAGCAATTCCAAAAAAAGCCTAAGAAGGGCCAAGAGAAACATAAGTTCCAAACTGAAAGACTGAAACAAACTATAAATTAGTAAATATTTGACGAATTAGAAGCACTTTAAAAGTTCACATCTTGCTTATGGGGGACAGGGTTGATACCCAGCAATTTGATGAGGAAGATCAACATATACTCAGCATTAATAGAAAGTAACATAAATTTATGAAGTGGACAGGGAGAAGTGTAAAAAGAAGCAAGGATAAAGCGAGTCGAATGGTTGCCAATGCTCTTGGGGAGTCAAGGCTGGATGACAAGTGCAAGGAGTGGTTAATGAGGTGGAATGTAAGATAAGGTGGACTCCCTCCAAGAGCTTGTTGAGAAATCTCCATGGACAATTGAGCAAAATCAAAGATCATGTTTTTTAAGAATTGCCTGTCACTGAATCTTTTGATTACTGTTTCTCAATTCCTAACCAATTACTCCAATGGAAGTGTGATAAAAAGACCAACAACAAGGCATACCTTGCAAATGAAACAACAACAACAACAACAAAAGTGGCAAGTAACAACAACAACAAAAGTGGCAAGTAACAACAACAACAAAAGTGGCAAGTAACAGCAACAACAACAACAACAACAACAAAAGCGGCAAGTAGAGGATAAAGAAAAAAAGATAACCCAACAATGGAGATTACCTTGCAAATGTTGTCGAATAAAAACCACCAACAAAAGCAAAGAGAATGGCAAAATCTGCTCGATCCATTTCGCCAGCTGCTGTATATCATACCTCTGATATGAAGACTCTCTCCCATTCCCACCCCCAACACCACTACCCACCTCCTCTGAAGGATTTGAAGCTCCTGAATCAATACCTGAAACCAGAGGAGCAGAAGAAGAGGAAGAAGAAGACGCCCCTTCGCCTTCTCCGTGGGCACCAATATTTGGCCCTGATATTCCAGCAATTGGGTCACTGGAAAAACCCCTGGCTTCACCAGAATCTGCCGACCCTGACCTCAAATGCTCTTGTTCTCCTGCCCCAATTATACGAATTGAGACCTCAGCCCCACTTGAATCCTCTGATCGCGAAATTATTCCAGCCAAATTTTCCCCAGATTCTTGATGGCTTTGCCTTCCTCGCAAAATCCCCGAATACTCTAGTAGGGCAGATAATGGAGACTGGATTAAATTTGAAGCAGAAAAATTCATGCCATATCTTCTTGTATTTGTGTTTCCCCGAAGGTTTTCTGTACCAGTACCAGACGTCTCCATGGAAAAAGAATCACAAATTTGTAACCCTAAAATGACAGTCCTGGACCTAATCTGAAACCCTGAGATAGATTTTGAAACCCTATAATTGGACACCAACCTTGCTGTCAATAATTAAGACCTAATATGGCTATCAGAGACTCGGACTGAAAAAAATTAACCCTTAATTTGAGGATTTAGACCCCCAGTTGAGGATTTCAAAAGAAGTTTAGTATTGGACACCATCCAAGGCTTGATGTTAACAAGAGGTTCAAGGTTGACCTAGAAATGAGGGGGAAAACTATAAAATTACAGACTTATCAGAGATGAGCCATCAAAGGCACGAAACCGAAACCAAATTTGAAGGTTTTCTACAAAGGGAAAGCTAGAAAGAGAAAACCATGTAAGAGATTTACCTTATCAAATAAGAGCGAGAGGAAACGCAGAGAGATCTGATTTCGAAGATTCATCAATTGGAACAATTAAACCCACATTCGATGATCGTTACAGAGAAGGAAAAGGAGAAAAGATGAGAGCGAAAGGGTTTAGAGTCCCAAAAAGAGGACAAAAGTATCTCCAGAGATTTATTGGAGCTGAGGCATCATGAGGTGGAATTTGGGTTAGGTGAGAGAGACACGATAGAGAAAAATAATAAGAAAAGGAGGGAGAAAAAACATAAATGATGAGAGATAGAGAAATGGGGAGAGGGAAGAGTGAGAAAGTATAAGTGGAGAGAGAGGGATAGGGAAATGATAAGATATGAGAAGCTAGAGAGAGAAAGGACAGAGAAATACAGAGGAGAGAGAGAAAAAAGATACCATAGAGACAAAAGTGGGCAGAGAGAGAAGGATGAGAGAAAGAGGAGAGCGGGAAGAGAGAGAAAGAGGAGAGAGAATGTTGTCTGATTTCTCTGTCTTCCACGGTTTCTCTGACCTTTCCCATGTAAGAACGATTAAATATGATTACAGTTTAAAAGAAAAGGTCACGCATACTGTGCTCCCCAGGGAGCAACGTGTATTTCTACTCTCTCGGTAGGTGACCAGCTTTGGAGGATTTTTTTTCGAGGAAAAGGTTTATATGAGTGCGCGGCTCTAAACAATCAAATTAGGGGACATTTCAAAAATTCATTTGAAGAGCTTGTTTTGATGCTCGAATATCTTCAAATTAATCATCTCGACCTCAATATGCATGAGATGAGAAAAAATAGATTTCAAGATTGGAAATAGTGCATCTTGTAGTGAATTTTTTTACCACCAATTTTTAAGGTTTTCGAGTTTTTATAGATCTGCTCAATTCACGCCAGTTTTTAAACTTTAAATTTTATAATTAATGATGAAAATATATTTTTAAGCTATTATAAAGGTTTTCGGTAATGAAACTACATTTCTCGACACAATTTAAAGATGCACTTTATTTCGATTGTTTAGAAGCTTGGCACTATACAAACGATACCCGTTTTTCAATGTCAAACTTTTTTGTCACTTAAGAATTATTAGATAATGATTCTCAAAAAAAATAAAAAATTCAGTTTTTAGTACTTGAATCTCACCATCTAAAAAATTAGATAGTCTCTATTTAATCTTGATATATCATTTTTTTAAGTGCACGGAAGATAAGCATATATGCTATGCTCCCTTAATAGCATAGTTTATTTCTATTCCCTCCGTAAAAACATTTAGGACGGTTGTTTTAATGCGAAATTTTGGTAATCCTATAAGTATTACTAAATGATTATTTTATATAAAAATTAAAATTAAATTTTTCTAACACTTAGATCTCACCATCTAAAAGTTTGACAATTTCAAGTGCATAAAAAGTACAATTAGGATAATATTTTATTAAGATTAATCTATGATGTCATTTCAACACCAAAATTTAAGGTCCTTAAACTAATTCTAAATGAAATTTTATCATAGTGAATAAAAGGACATTTTACTCCCGCGTCAATGGAATATCTTTTAGCTTAAGAAAAACTTTTAAAGGTCTCTAACTCATTATCACAATAGCCCCTGAATTTGTTGTTTGTATACTTTAAAATGATGGGGTATTGTTTGTATACTTTAAAATGATGGGGAATGATGCAAAAGTCCACGTACAAGTTGGATATTAAGCAAAATTACAACAATTATGTATTTCATGTTTAAGTCCTAATATTTTTAAAAATGATAAATTCAAATAAGGCTTAAGCCTTACTAAAAAAAAGAAAAAATAAATAAAAAAGACTAAAGTCTTAACGATAGTTATAGCTCTAGTGTCAAATAAACTTCAAATTAACCATCTCGACGTGAGGAAAAAAAAATTAAGCTTAAAAATAGTGTATTATGTAATGTATTATCTAAGCTATTTATTTTTTAGTGTCACGGATTCACTAGATCTATACTATTTTTAGAGCTTCGAAAATGTGGAAATACATTTCTGGACCATCATAGGGGTTCTCATGTTCCATTAAAGTTTTAAAGCGAGGCTTTACTTTTCTCCATTAGACCTATGCTTCATACACACTTCATCCTTTTATAACTTTTTAGTTTTCATAATTTTCTCCAAGTTCATAACTCTAAGGTTTGAACCACTTGTTCTTTAAGTAAAAATAAGTTCAAAAGTTAGACAATGTGGACTCTTGTTTTGGGTCAAACTTTGGGGTTTGGAAGTGGCTATGCACAAATTTTACTTACATAGAGGAAAAGTATGCAACGAAATAATTTATCTTTGATGTAAGGTAGTTACAATTAGTCTTGACTATTAAATGTAAAATTAGATAGTTGCTTTTATTCTATTAACTAGGCTCAAACTTCAAAATAAAATTTTTCGAATTTTGTGACATACCCAAACTATTAAATTTCATATCGGATGACAGTAAGTAATTGTGACCTTCTTGTATCAAAAGTAAATGGCCACATCTTAGACAATCCCTTAATAAAACAGGTGAGTTATGATCCAACACTAGCACTTAGTTTTTTATTTTGGAAAAATGGTGGATTCATAATTCAAATTTTTGTGCTCATTGTTATATTTTTGTGGTGAAGTGGTAAATTTTGAACTTCATATTTTTAAAATTGAACTTCATATTTCAAACACAACATAAATTTGTTGAAAACGGAAGTTTTGGAATCGCAAAAATGGGTATAAAATTTGTATTTATGGACTAATTTTTCACACAAAAGATAAAACAAAAAAAAAAAAATTAGGTATGGAACATGAAGTTCCAAATTGGGAGAAAACTGAAAAATACTAAAATAATAAAAAAAATTGAGACTTCGGTAAGAGTATAAAATAGGGGGATTTTTTTTTTCTAATATATCAAAAATATGTTGAGAATTTTCATAATTTTCCCTTAATTTAATCAAAACAACTCTAAGAGGTTCTAAACTATAGTAAAAGAGTTTATATAAGGTGTCAACCTTATGCAAAGTAAGGAGCGTCTAAAAATCCATTAAATTATTGCTCATGTAATGGAAAATCCTAACTTTGACATCTCAGCCTTATGGAAAAAAAAAAAAAAATCATGAAAATATTACATCTTTTAACATGTTATAGGAACCGTTTATTTTCAAGATTTATAGATCTCCACGATCGGACTTATGTGAGCTAGCCATGTGTGCCGCCATCCTAGCACAACATGTGTCAAGAGATGCAAGTTAGGTCGAGCGGAATGATTGAAAAGGGCAAAGGATAGGCCCAAACGGACGTGGTTAGAAAGATTCCGAAAAGATATGGAGACTTGTAGCCTCACTGAGGGTATGACATTTAATATAGTAGAATGGCATATCAGGATTCATATAACCGACCCCAATTAATTAGAAAAAAAGCTACGATGATAATAAATCTTCACAATCTATACACGTTTGAAAGCTTTTAATTTCATATTTAGCCACGACAAAATATTTAAAGATGTGTATGACTTTGATTACTCGAAGTTGATACCTTGTATAATTCACACCTCTTTGTATGCTCGTTATAATTCTCTCTAATTTCATGACAATTTGTCAGTCGCAAATTCTCTCTCCATGCATTGCGAATAAGACCAAAACTCTCACTTTTGCTCCCGTATTTTCAGTGCTATTGATGATTTCATGACAAGTTATTTCTTTAAAACTTCCATTAAAGAATCTTGCTTTTGTTTCTAGGATAAAGTTATAGCTTGGTTTATACTAGCTTCTTAGGTTAAAGATATGGGGATGAGAGGGCTGAAGCTCTATTGAAATTCTAGGTTTGAGAATTTGGGGTTGAAGGAGCTGAAGCTCTATGAGAAACTTGATTTATGAGGTTAGGATCCGAGTGAGTGAGAGGGAGAGAGAGAGGGGTATCATAGGGCTGGAGGTCAAAGGAGAAGCTCAATTTGGTGAGGGATCTGGAGAGAGATGGGGGTCACCATCTGGGAATTGGGTCATTGGGTTTGAAATACATACAAGCCCTTGATTTTCCTTTAGAAATTGCATATCTTTAAACCAGACATTCAAATCCTAGCCCCATGAAACCATCTTCGGAAAAGCCTGAAACTCTCCATTTCTCAATTGAACAATACCCACAATCATCACCCGCATTCAAACAAAAAAACCCCACCTTTTCGACAACAAACAAAGCAAAAAGCCCAAACCCACCAAATCCCTCAACACTCCTCCTTGTTACTAGACCCCTTAAACAAAACACCAACACCAGCCATGAAACCAGGGCTCCATGAAACCAACCCACCTTCCCTTTACAGATACCTAACCTTAACTTTCAAACCCAATGACCCAATTCCTAGATGGTGTATGAAAATCGTGGATGGGGTATGAAATACTCTCAAACTTAAAGTATTTTTCTCGTACTTTACAGAAGATTGAGAGCCACTCTATTGGACTTTTGATGATTGACATTGTTGTACTAAAAGCCAATAAACATTTATTGAGCAAACAATTAAGAAATATTATAAGGGAAACGTATACAATAGGACCACTTATCTTTTATACAAATGGAGTCACAATCATTAATCGGATGGTTACTGAAATGATGGTTAGTGAAATGTCATTGATGCGCCATAAGGTACAAAATAAAATTTTACGAGTTTTTGTGATGCATTTTGAATCGTTAAATTTTATATATAATGGTTAAGAATAATTGTGTCTCTCTTGTACTAAAAAACACACAAATTCATGATTTACAATATTTTTCTAAATTAATTACCCCTCGGATGACTTTTAATTGGATGACATCATGTCTACAGTATAAAGAGATTGGGTATTTTTTAATTTCTAAATTGTCTGTAAGATAAGTTGAAAATAACACAAATACAGTTGGATATAATGTTCCTTTACTGCGGGCTTTTAGGCGCTAAACCACCTAATTAGGTGGTCATGTATGACTGCGATATTTTCTAGTACTGGGACTCACCTTGACCGGGAGACTTGCCCTTTGATCAAGACGAGTTACTCAACCAAGTCATATTATCCTTTATTGTAATGGGACCCGTCCCTTGGCTGAGACGAGTCACTCAACCTAGACTTCAGTATTCAAGCAATTACACATGTCCAAAAGGCCTTGAAATGATATAAAAATACTATATATATATATATATATAAGAAGTAATTCAAATCTAAAACACCTTAAAAGGTTAAAATGAGGTTAAAAAAAAAAAAAGTAGAGAAAATATGGATTTTGAGAAACCCAATTTACATTTTGGAATATTTAAAAAAAATCCAGAAAGAAAAAAACAAAACCTATAAAAATGTGGTTATAGCGAAAAAAC